TATATATATATATATATATATATATATATATATATGTATATATATGTATGTATATATATATATATATATATATATATATACAGCTCATTCAATAAAGGTTGTCCTTTGAAACCTTAAACTCTAAAACCATAAACTCTAAGCGCGCAAAGCATAATGGGAGCACGATTTCAGCAGTTTACAAATAATATATGAAGCCCATTTCTTGGAGACATGATAAATATCTCCCTGCAAAAACATTTCATTGACAAACAGCTGCAATAATCAACTACTAAGCTTGAATCAGTGCTCCCGTCATGCTTTGCGCGCTTAGAGTTTAAGGTTTAAGGGGGTCTTCCACCCTAAAAACATTTTTTTCAATTTAAAGGTTTTATCGTCATATTTGAGTCAAATATGATGGAATATCCTCAGCTGACGCAGGATCAGTAACTTTTACATTCGTCGTTGCCATAGTAACTAAGATAGGCCTCGCTATAGGGTAAAATATAGGGTTTGCTCCAAAAATGATGTGAGCCAAACTAATTTACTGAGGATTTTAGAAACAGCTTTAATGGACACTTAATACATCGATCTATGTCATGAACTAAAAAAATATACAATTAGTAATATAATAAGGCCTTCATATTTTACTTTTTTAAAGATATATGAAGAAAGGAGTTCTTATAAGGCTACTCTTGCAATGTATATTGCTGATTTATAAAGTTTTTTAGGTCCATGACATGGCTATGTAACCAGCAAATAAACTCTGAAAATTTCGAACGAATTGATTCAGTATGAACAGTAGGAGAGTTTTTAGTATTTCGCAAAATGCTCATGTGAGAAAAGCGATTTTAAAGTTTTTGCATATATTAGAATAACTTAGATAGAACAATATAATTGAAAATGGAACAATAGACTAAACCAATCGCATATCGTTATCGCTCCGGGTAAAATCGTGTATTGAGCACTGTTTGTGTTTCGTAAACCAAAATCTTAAGCTATATATATATCTCCTCGTAGGAAATTTCAGTTAGCATTTTAGATAAGAATATTATCCACCAACGCACATATTCAATTTCATCCTTGGGGGTATATTTTGGACTCTGCGTTTAACTGCATGATTGCGTTTATAACGTATTAATTATTATTTACCAAACTGTCGATGTATGTTTCATGTCAGAATTGCTGACTGTATAATACGTATAATACGTATACTCCTGTAGAACTCAGTGTCGCTATTGTCAATATCCTAAAACAGCGCAGTACCTTGTCCTTGACAGCATAATTGTTATTGGGTATGTTTTAGTCTTGTGATTCATTTTGTAAAGAAATCGCCTTAGTACAATGCCCCCTGCAGTAATAGGAGGTAAATTTGCATAAAATTTCTTTGATGTATCGCATTTTCGTGACTGTTTTAAATAGTTAATCGCAGTATCTTGCAGAGACAGATCATTCAAGATAGATAGATACACGAATTAAAAATTGTTGGTATAGCTGCAATATTTAACATTAATTTGGTCGATCTTGATGAAATAATTTATAGCAATTGGTAACTGATCGTAATTGCTTTGCACTGTACACTGAATTTCCGACAACTAAAACGGTAAGTCTAATACTTAATAGAGAACTAATCAAATAACTTTTCGTCTCGCTGTATAAACTGGTATTTATAAATGGTATTTGTTATTTATTTTGCTGATCAACTTACAAGATTTTATGATCGTAATTAACACTCTGAAGGTATTATGAAGTCTTATATATAGCCTGTATAGTATTCAGCATGCAGCTTAAGGAGAAAATGAAACATTATAATTGTGACAAACTATTTTCGAGAGCTATTAAGGTTCAAATGATTTATGGTATATATAGCGCTGGCAGAGGAGAATAAGGAATGCTAATAGTGAAACACTTACTTCTTAATTGACTAGCCTTAGATGCATGAATAATGTGATTGATTTCGGCGTTTAACATTAGATATCAGTTGAGCAATACTGCCAATAGTGTGTGTGGATGACTAATACACCAGATTTCGAATACATCTGCAGTCAGTAAAGTAAAGCCCGGATCATAGGAGGAACCTTGCATGGTTAGCTGTTTTTAATGCTTTACCACACTATCATGTATTTTATTTAATACTTATCAAACGTTTGTCTTGTCAATCTATATAGAGTTTGAATTAAATGTGCCAGGTGCCAGTAATAATAAATAAATCTATTTGCACACATACAGTTATATAGGGAAAAAAAATACAAGAATGATAGAAAAAAATACTGTAAAATAATGTGCAAAATCACCTATAATAACCATAAAGGGCTAATCTAGATAGGTGATCTGCTAAACAACAACGTCTATAAGTTAAGTGCACGCATAATAAGTAAGGTAGGCTATATAGAGGAAAACATATTGTTAAAGTCGCCGTAAAATTATAGTAAGGCAAATGAATTCGTGGCTGTCAATTCTCACTGATCTAATTTCATTGTCACGTTTGACCGGGGCTTGAGACCTATATTGCTATAACAAGGATAGCCTGCTCGCAGCCTGAAGAGCCATAACAAGGAAAAACAAAGATTTATTTACCAGGCTTAGAGTTCAGCTGCATACTGGAATTCTTTAACAGAGAGAGTTGAACGTTATACCTAATAAAGTTTGCCAAATATTACACATTCTTAAATCTATAGATAACTAGATTATAGGCTTTAGCTTTTATACTCATATATGACTCTACATGACTCGCAGTTTTATTAATAATTTAACGGCTTTTTATATAATATTATATGTCTGTAGTATATTTGTCAGTATTTTTAAGTACTTGTTTACCGGCTGGGAGGTCCGTATACTGAAAATATTTTTCCGAGCTCTCAGAAGCGGGCCGAGACCGAAGGTCGAGGGACGCTTCTGAGACCGAGGGAAAATATTTTTCAAGTATACGGGCCAAGTAAATAACTTAATTATTTTTTGCACGATGGTATACTGGATGTGAGATCAGTTGTGTTTGTTTATTTTAAAATACTTATAAAGTCGGAGTCCAAGCATGGCTGACATACTGCTAAAGCGACACGACAAAAAGCCTTTAATTTTGATGCAATAGATGCTTTTCTATTCAACAAGATAATAAAAAGCTAAACTATTTATTTTTCTCATGATCGTCAGTGTAGCCTATAATAGTAATAACATGCTTCAAAAATGTTTTTTCGACACGCAGCAACAAATTCTACTTGCCGACAACAATGACATGCAGCATGAATTTATAAAAAATAAATGAGATGATTCTAGAAATAATTTTAAACTGCCTTTTAAGAATTAAGGTAATAATTTTTTATGTTTGAGCTAGGATACGTCCTAATTGGTTCCAGTATTTGTATTTACGTATATTTTTCGACATATAGCTGAATATATGCTGAGTTTTTGAAACTAAATATTTGCCACTGATTTGTCGATACTTATACGTCCGAGAAATACTTGATTTTTGCATTAGGTGGAAAAAAGTAATTTCGAGCTTGGCACTAAATCCATCGAAGTCAGTTCAGCTTTTTTTTCTATCTTTAGTATAGATAGGGAGCGATTTTCAACATTTTAGTGTAAAGTTTTACTTTACACTATTGTGATGGTGGCGAAAATTCACACGTATCAGTCATCTATTCAGTCATCTATTCAGTCATCTATTCAGTCAGTCATTCAGCCATAGAGTAAACTTTCCGGGGGTTGTATACGATTTATGTTCTCAGTGATTTATTGTACTTAGTCAGTACTTTGAAAGTTTTTTTAGGTAATTTCAGTTGTCTTCTTTAAATGTTCTTTAGGCCTTTTGCCAGGTTCACAAAAAATTCGAGGAATCGTTGTCGTTATTGTAATTTTTTGTAAATTTTAGAACATTCGCTTCTCATGTTATGTAAAGGATCTTTACTGCCCCGGAACACCCGACTTTTTCTTTAGCAGCGCAAATGCGCATGCGCTGTCAAGCCGTAGATCAACGATGGCGTGACGATGCTTCGAAGGAGCGACACAGTGTTGTTTTCAAATATATAAATATTTTAGACTTGAAATTCGTGAATATAAGTAAATCTTTGAGAATCTGCGCAACATATAAATTGATGTTATGCATTATGGGCATTCAATCAAGTATCGATATTATTTTATGGACGGTATATTCATTATACAGAGCTGGGAAGGAGCTAGACAGTGCTTTTTTCAAATGTATAAACATTTCAGACGTATTAAAATATTGAGAAAATCTTTGAGATTCTAGGCATTCAATTAAGTGTCGATATTGTTTTTGACGGTATATTCATTACACAGAGTTAGGAAGAAGCGATACAGTTTGTTTTCAAATATATAAACATTTCAGACATGAATATTGAGAAAATCTTTGAGATTCTACGCAATATATAAATTGATGTTTTGTATTTTACCGGCATACTTGCGAAAAGCTGAAAATGACTCATGAAAAGCAACTTGATCTTGGGAATATAAAGTCAAAGGTCAATGAGACTTGTTATTGTGATACATGTCTGTCACAATTAGGTTAAAATGCGGATGCGGAACGGAGCGGGTCCACGCAGCGGATGCGGAACGGATATGGGGATAAAATGCGGAACGGAAATGGGGATAAAATGCGTCATAATGTGTTTTTCGCCTCATTTTGACGTTTCTGGGTTTTTTATTTATGTTATTTTGTAATGGATGCAACGTCGTATTAACTAATTATACAGCTATTTCAATTAATGAGTACTCACTGAGGCAATAGTGAAATGTGCAATATGGGCGCGGAAAGGATAATGGGAATAATCATAGTTTTAAATAAGTTTAGTATATCAGTAGCCTCATGGGGATACGTTCAGCGACAGCTCCCAATGCAAAATTAATGTAGTTTTAGAATATACAAAATTTGGTTGTTGGTGAAACAATTTAAATTTCGAAAACATAGAATACCAATGTATTCCTTCTTTTCCACTAAAAAACTATTCGCAGATATCTTATTAATAACAAATTAAATAATAATTTTCAATTAGATTTGCTGTTTTGTTTTAAAATGCATGCGTTTGTTTTTACGTATACGGGAAAATAATAGACCGCTTTAAAGTGGTTCTCAGCCAATCACAGTCCGCCATTTCACCGGAAGTGAAGTTTACCATATAAATAATAGCCAATATATAGCTCCCAATGATACATTAACCTAGAAAGTTAAAACTAACATGAATAAATTAATATATACATATATATATATTAAATTATAATTTTTACAAAATTATACAGTGTTCTCCGGATTGTAATTATTTGTTTTACAATCCGGAGAACACTGTATAATTTTGTAAAAATTATAATTTAATAAAATGCCTGGATTACAAATCTTCAAATCTATTAAATACATGTATATATGTCGAAAAACTACATGAGTTTTGCGAAGCAGGAAAAACGAAAATATTCGCTTTGAGAAAGATAATAGTACAAGGAAAAATTCTCAAAAAAATTTGACAGGTTAGCAAAATACATTTATTACATAGAAATTAGTTTAAATACAAGTTTTTTTAAAGAATTAATACCGAAACAACAGCGAAAAAAACATGTTCATTGAGAATATAAATTGTTCAGAAAAGTTTGTAACGAAAGACAAATGAATTTGCAGTCAACAAGCACTTATATACTATACTACCAAACATCTGTATAATATATCTGAGCTTTTCTGTGAGATATACCGGTTCTAAAACCATTTCTTTCACTTCGTCTTCGAGTTGTAAAACAAAAGTATTTCAAATTTTCAAGGCCAAGCGGTTTTTGACCGAACAAGTTGTCAAGACATTGTAACAGAGGATAATTAATTATTGCTTCAGTTAATGGCTATTATAGACTTTAGTATAAACCTACTAGTAGGCTATCACATTTCGTGCCTTCTGATTGGCTACGCTACTAGTAGGCTATTAGTGATAGCCTACTAATAGAAAATTTAGAATGGCGGAAAATTCGCGTTTTGCACTTTTGCCGAAGTGTCTGATGATTTTTTGGACGACTTATTGAACAATTCTGTACTAAAAAAACCCCCCAAAAAGCAACAAAAATATGGAATGGCAATTTTTAAGGGTAAGAAAATAGACAAAATAACATACACTCAATGAAATTTTAAAATTAAAACTGAATTTTGTAAAATATTTTACGCGAACACAAACTAAAATATTTGTTTACCTTTAATGGTTTTATAATGTTTTTTGTGTATTTTTGTATTGTGTTTGCAGCCTAGTTGTAAATTAATGTTAAAGTTTATACTAAAACAATTAGACAACTCGGCCTCGTTTATGAGCAAATAGTCAACTCGGCTTCGCCTCGTTGACTATTCGCTCATAGACAACTCGGCCTCGTTGTCTAATTGTTAAATATTATAAAACAATTATACCATTCGCTCTCGTCGTATATGGCTGATAGCCGACTCGGTGCTACGCACCTCGTCGGCTATCAGCTCATATACGACTCGAGCTCATGGTATAATTGTTAAGTATCTCACGCTGCATTGCGAAATCATGAATTTGAGTGAAATACCGTAAAAAATCACATCACGTGGTACAAATGCTGTTTTTTCATTGGACAATATGAATTTGAGGTATAATATTCCCCGATAATCACCGCGAAATCGTCTTCGGCGAATAATTGTTAAATATCAACACGTGTTGATATAACCACTATTATCTATTCTGTGACTAGATATAACTGTATATCAATACGGGAAAATGTTTTATATTATTTTTTAATATAGCACAAAGAAATAAAAATAAAGAAATTTCCGTGTTGAATTTTATTTATTTATTTATTTATTTATAAAATTTATTTGGAGACGATAGCCCTTCAGCTAATGCTGCTTTTCAAGGGATCGTTTTATATAAATCTAATAAAATATTAAGGTTACAGAACACCTTCAGTGAGTGTTAATTTTGCCTAAAATTTTTTTATTGGTTTCCATGAAAGCATTAGACTACAGTAGTTCCACTATCTGACCAAGCTTCAACGAAAAATGTTGAAAACTCGCAGAGTTATTTAATAAAATACATTTCGCTGCAATAAGAAAAACATTGAAAATGTAATATTCAAATTGAATTTTCTCCCGAAGAATTTTACGGTAATTACTGATTTACGGGTTTTAACCAATTTTTCTCAAATTTTCACAGAACATAGCTAAAGACGTCAGTTCAAAACTGTTTTCAAAACTGTGTTTCAGAAATATATTGCAGTCGTCAAAGAAAAAATCGCCATATCAGCGGAATGACGAAATAAACAAAAAATTTCGAACACAATTTTTTAGAACAACTATAAATAATTTTGCTGCGGTATAAAAATGATATTTTCATAAATATAACTTAAAACCAGCAGGAGCACAACTCAAAAGCGTAACCCTACCGCGATTTAAGACTTTCCTGAATAATTCTTAGATTGTTTTATTGTTTGTTAATTTTACAACTTTACCATATTTTGCATGCACTGGCGAATATTTGGTGAAAATTTGATTAAAATCGGACTGATATTGAGCGCGCAGTAGCGATTTTCCGCAAAACGCCAGGGTGTCCTGTAAACTTAATATATATTTATACACAAATAAGTCATGTTAAATAAAACAATATTAATAAGTCATGTTGCAGTACTTGTGAGCATTATCAACAGTCATTTAATCTATAGAAAAACAATTGTCGATTAAAATTTTAAAATGAATTGTTGATAGTTGCTCATACCCGTTGACTATGTCAAATTTAGGTTGTTCCAGGCACAAGCTCCTCGGTATGAAAAGGATCTTTTCATAAAATTAGTTTTAGGCTTATCTAACACAAGCTTGCGCATGTTACTCCGCATTTCGTAATTGTTATTTTGGTGATGAGAGAACAATTGTCATGTTAGAGACGTACTCCGGCGCAATACAACGGATAGCCTTGAATGTCATTAAAATTTCCCTTTTCCTAAAAATAGACTCAATTGGAGCCCATCCTAGAATCCGAAAGATTGTTTTTGACCTTATTTCGTAGTTTGAACTAGTTATGACACGAGCGGCCCTTTTTTGCATCTTGTACAGTTTTTCAAGATTCGTTCGATTTCCGTCATTCCAGACGATCGAACAATATGTAAAGTAAGGGACTACTAAAGAGTTGTACATACGAACTAATTCATTTTGTGATACAAAAGGTTTAGCTCTTCTTAGAAGAGCCACTGCACTCGAAAGTTTCTTGCATTGAGCATTAATATGTTCCTTCCATTTTAATTCTTTGTCAATTATAATCCCCAAGACCTCTTTCTGTTTGACTTGTTCAATAAGTGTATCATTAATTAGTATTTGGAGGTTTTCAGGGATTTGGTTTAATTTTCTTTTTGAGGCTATATTAATTTCAGTATTGAAAAATGGCCTTAATTGAGCATTCTGATTGGCTCCCTCAGCAGTAACTCTGAGGTAATATAGTTACTGCTCAGACTGTTCTGACAACACGACTTAGCCAGTTAGCGTTCAGAATTTAGAAATGCTATACAGAGTGTATAAAAAACGAAGACCCTAGCCTTAGAAATTAACCTTACTGTTATAATTTGAATGCTATAAGCACTATACCGAACACAAGAGTGCAAAAACGCAATTGAATTAAATTTTTAATTACCAGGAGCAAAATATATTGTGCTTATAACAATAATCGATGAATTTCAAAAGGATACACCCTGTATTATAATCGCCTTTATCTGCACCTAAAGACGTGCATGATAATTTGTATTTTTCCTTTGTAAACAGAGTGAAAGCGACGTCTAAAACTGCCTTGGGATTTTAATTGTTCATTTCTTTTTCGCAATATTATGAATTTCATTGTATCAATATCCGTCCCCGTAGCACTTTTGAATTCGAAGTTCTGCTTGATTAAGATTCCCATGCATTAACGGCAATTTTTTGCAATTGTATTTAAAAGTGTAGAACGTAAGACTGTTTCTTGTAATATACAAGCGACTTGTATACCTGATTATATGTCTTGCTTAATTAAGGTCCAAATAACGGACTTATTAGAGAGTGCATGTACTGGCATTCAATTACCCTTTCTCACAAAGGCCAAAATCCGCCATTTTTGGGGTGCTGTGTGCACATCTTATGAATTAAATCATCAAAAGCTTTACCTACCAAAACCTAAGACGAATTTTTTAAAACGAAGCTTCTCCTATAGAGGAGCAGTTTCATGGAACCAAATGTTAATGGAAAAACTTCCAATTACGGAAATACCTGAAACTTCCATCTGTTCTTTTAAAAAATTAATAGATGGCTTGTGTTTTTGAATTGGGAGGTCATCCTGCCAAACCATATCAAAGCATTATGCCTTGCCGATGTAAATAGAGTATATTATGCATGATTGTTTTTTTGTTTTTTTTAGTTAATAATTTTAATATTCTTATAATAGTTTATAGTAAGTGTGCACGGCCCTTTGAAAAACAGGCTTCTGAAAGGCTACCGTGAATAAATAAGCTTAAATAATAATAATAATAATAATAAAAAAAGATTCTAGAAAATTCAAACAGCGTGAAAATCGACTTTTAAAAGTTGTAATTGTATTAATTTACCATTATACAAACAACTACAATACTAAAAAGTCGCATTCCGTGGTGCGTAGACTCTCAAAAGTGGAAGAGGCAGTGCCCAAAAATGGCGGAAAAATCGGCCGTAAGAAAGGCTAGTTGTATACATGCAACGGCTACATTTCTTGCTGGGACAACGATACTTTGTTTCAAATATATTGGATCCCGTGCAGAACTCATCTCGACCATAAATCCTTGTCTTAATTAACCTGGATCCTTAAATAAACCGTATTAATTTCATACGGTGGAAAATTAATAGACGACAAACTTTCCTTACAATCATTAGAGTTTAATAAGTTTGCATGTTGCCGCTGTCGCTATTATTCTGTCACCTATGCAAAATTAAGAGTGCATCATAATTTACAATAATTTAATTTACTTATGTTAAAAAGCTAATTCAGGTAAAACCAGGGCGTAGGAACCGGGCAGGGGGCATGCGCTCCCCCAAATGTTTTCAAAGGACCAAAAGTGCCCTTTTTGTGCATGCTAATGTCGCGGTAAATACTATATTAACATGGAAGGTGCCTTTTTGTTTGGAGATTTTGATGTTTTTAAACTGATAAATTTGGTAAGGTATGATCAGAAAATTTTTCTCCTCCGTCACCGTCGCCAACTTTTCCGGAAAAAATTTTTAGGCGCCCTTTTCATTATCCAAAAGTGCCCTGGAAGTCGGTGCCAGGGAAAAATCCTCTAACCGCCACACCCCCACATACATATATTTGCATGCATGCAGTTCTAATTTTTTATTTTAAAAAAGCTGGTCTGAAATCAACATTCTTGACTCATATAGCATTCATATTAATAGTCAGGCTGATAGAGGTAAAAAAATTAATGAAAACTCACCATATCGGGGGAGAATTTCATTTTGCCTTCATCTTGTGCCTTGAAGGCTGGTAAGTACAGTACATTTTTTACTGGTAAGTACAGTACATGTTTCGACGTTCAAATGTCTTGTAGGGTCCTGCCAACATATTTTTCTTCGATTTTCCTATTAAACTCCTATACCGTTAAAAACGTGAAATTTCATGCTCATTTATCGAAAAATTGACTTGAAGCATTAGAAATCTTGCAACAAACTGCACATAAGACATTTAAACGGTTATCTTGATTTTTCATTTTGTCATTATTCTTTATCATACGTCTTGAATTATGAGCTTTTCAAAACGTGTTTTCAAATTAGTGCCCAAGATTTTTGCGCGTTTTTGGCCTATTTTCACAATTTGGAAAGCAACAACTTGAACACTGCTTGAAAATGTAGGTAACCGTCGAAATGTCTTATATGCAGATTTTTGTAAGCTTTCTTACGATGTAAGTAATTTGTTTTCTATTTATGAACCGAAATTTCACCTTTTTTAACAACAAAGGAGCTTAATAGGAAAATCGAAAGAAGGTGTTCAAGTTTGATAGATGGCAACATGATATTGCACGGTGTTCAAGTTTCTTAGATGCATTTTTTTTTTTAATAAAGTCTAATATATGAAAATACGAATAATCATATCCTTCATTCAACCCTATTATGCCAACAGCAATGCCATTTGTTTTTAACTAGATGTCGTGGAAGGCGAAGGAATGGTATTCTTTGGTGTTTATTTTGATATTCGTGCCAGCAGAAATACAGGGTAAAAATTAAATGTTGAATTGGTGCCAACTGCCAATACTAGTATACAATTATACAAGTCACTAAATATAACATCCACTCGAACGCCTTCGTTCAAAAGCTCGAAGTTTATTCTTTATATTTTACTATTTTTCATTTTCTTCCATAATACATTCAAGCGCGCAAATATGAATTTTGTAATATATAGCTAGTTTGAACATCAAACGTCACAAGCTGATTTGTGATTATATGTATAGCTTTAGATAAATGCAATGTATCCTATCGGGAAACAAGGAGAAAATGAACTTCAATACCAAACAGAAATTACATGAAGAAGACATATGGTGTCTTTAAACTTGCTATCATGCGTTTTAAATACCTAAGACGACTAAGAAAGATGATTAAGAAAGGCTGATTTCTGTAACTACAAGTCATGTAGTTCAGAATGCAGTTAAACCTGTATACACATACAAATTGGCTACTCCCTTATGTACAACATGCAAATACTTCCCGCATGGGGGGGGGGGGGTTATTTGGAGTGGAGGAAGGGCGGCGAGAAGTTATCAAGAGATGTAAAATATCTTCCCCTCATGTTCGGTAATTAACGTTACCAAAGTATATGACTGGATCTGGGACAGCAGTAGTTACATGAGTCAAGTCGAAGAAAAACTATAAATTTCACCATAAAGATCAACAACTCACACTAACAACGGAAATTTCTTGCTGAAACTACGGGCCGGTAAATATAGGATTGACAAATGGCGGAGTGCTATTTATCAGGAGCAAAGCCAGCCCGAAACGAATGGGGAGTCCAATCGTCGAATATGCAGGAGATAGTGGTCGTTCAGGGGAAGGGTCCCTGGAAAATGTTTTTGCTATACTTTTAGGGCCTGCGCTATTACATGCATTTGTTATGATAATCTGAAAGAAACATAATTATTTGGTATATTTCATGTCATAGATGAAAATATTCCGAGGTTACGCATCCCAGTTTGTCCTCAGTTTAGGAGCATTACAAAATTTATCCTGAAAAACCAACGGCGACCCCCTCCCCTAAAATTCACCCACGCCGCTACGCTGCTGCTATTGACCACTGGATGTTGTGCTATTTACAGTAGAATCAGGGCCGTAGCTTGCATGTATAGTTGGGGGGGGGGGGGGGGG